TGCAGCTGCCTTAATCTCATTTTTTTGAGAATAAGAACAGTATAAATGTCGTAATTAATCCCACCTTTTTTTCAGTTTATTTGTGCTATTGAAAGTAAAGCAAACTGCCCAGAGGCCTAATTCCTTTTAGGTCACTGGTTTCCAATAGAAAGAGACGTTCACACAAATCTCCTGGTTTGGAAGCAATGACTTCAAATTACTCCTACTTCTTCTCTAAGTCTCCAATATGTTCATCTGGAAAACATTTAGTCATTTCTAAGGAGATTCCAAAATGAGGCAATCCTGGTCCACTGTCTGCCTTGTATAAAAGGTCAACCACATGATCAACTAAACCATAACATTTCTGAGACATATGGAAAAAATAATTTGCTAAAAGGAACTCTGATCATTTCAAAGGGCAGATGGAGCTCTTAAATAAAGCATATTCACTTATCAGGCTCAGTGTTTTCATATAATTTAAAGCCTCTCTAAAGAAAAAGAAATTTGAAATGTTTCAGTGAAATACGGTGCTGTTTCAGACTGTGTTAAATGCACTTGACACAATTTGACTAGTTAGTATATGTATGCAGAGTATCAGTTGGAGTTGAACTAATGAAAATAAGCATTGGTATCTAAATAATAACTAAACAGTACCTAATGTAATAATATTAACTTTTAATTAAAAATTATCCATCAACAAAGATCTTCCTGTTGATTGAATTTAAAAATTCAAGCAACAAGAGACACAATCTTTCTACTCATTTAGAACTATTGTTAAATAAAATGTATTACCTTAACATTTTATGATGTGAGATTTTCTTGAGTAATTCAAACTGTGAAAAATGAAGTTGCTTGGAAAATGAGACTAGTTAAGTTAGTGTTAACTAGGGCATTGCCCTAAACTCTTAACTCTAAATCACCTGTATTATTTTCTTTCAAATTGTGGCATTTGTTTGATAACTGTCAAGTTTTCTGATCTTTATTTCCTTACCCAAAGAAACAACTATGTTGAAACAGAATTTTTTAATATTCAGAAACCAAAGTATTTCAGCCTACATCTTTTAAAATGAGGAACTAGTATACAACTCAATGCCCTGCTAACATTCTTTAATATGAAAGCAGAAGCAATATTAGCTGTAATTTTAATCCTTGCAGTCAATAGGAACATATTACATTATAACTTGTTCAGAGCCTACAATTCTGGTCTTAATTAGCCATCTCATAACCCCATGCTGTAGATCAAATGGGGTCATAAGAAACATAAATGGCTTACATCAAGCCAACATCACTATCAGAAAGTAACTCAAAACATGTGTTTACTGATACTCTAGGATTTATATCATCTTCATAGGAAAGACAACTTGATGGCATTAGGATCAGCTTTATCTTCATAACAGATAAGAATAAAATTCCAGGTAAATTAGATAAAGGAAGAAACCAAATTGAAGTTTCATAAAGTAAAACCGTATCTGGTGGCTCATAATCAGGAGGATTTCTTTGAAACCTCGCTTGGATCAATTAAATAATAGCTAGCTAGTAAGACAAGACACCTTGAAAGCATGCTAGGCTGCTGTGGACAGATTTCAGACTTTTATATGTATCTTCAATAATTAGCCTGGAACTTAACACCTAGTATTTGTGGAAAGACAATGCATATTACATTAACATATTAGACACAACCTCCAAATTCTATACGTTTACTAATAGCACTAATTGGTTACTTGGAACATTTAGCACAGGAAAAGGTACTTTCAGATCTGTGTATAATTTTATCATGACAAACCTCTGAAGCTCTACAGAACTAGCACGCAAGGAAATTGTTTTGGATTTCATCATCTACATTAAATCCTGATATCTCTTGTACAGTTTCAAGTTTGAATGCCTCAGTAAGTTTAATGCTATTACAATTCTAGAACTGGCATTTTTTTTACACTGTTTTTGTGCTATCTCTTTTCTATGTTTCTTAGTTTTATAAACTAAGTTAAAATATAAAACAGTTTTTAGAGATATATGTATGCTATATTACAAATGAATGAACATACTGAAACTCTCCTTTGCCTACCCTGATACTCTACAGTCAACCAATATTTACTGAACACTTACTAGGAGTAAAAAATTAACATGTAAGTACTGTAGAATTTTCTTTTGGAACAATGCAAACTTCCTACAATTGAGTAGTTAGCAATTCTACACAAAAATCATTCAATTATATGCTCAGAATGGGTGAACTGTATGATTTGTGAATAGTATTTCAGTGAAATCATTGTAGGAAAAATCTGGAACTTGTGGCAGGGAAGCACTTGTTCAGACAACACTCCTTGAGTTGCTGTGCTGATGGGACATTCAGCGTACATGGTAAGCAGCGCAAACACGGCAGCCTATCACTAGCACAGAGGACTGACTCAACAGAGAGCGAGGTCCAAGGTTGACTAGTACAATTTGAGGACACTCTCGACATTTGATAACACCAATTTGGTTAACAGAACTGGAGACTGACCTCTTCTCCAATATTATGACAAAACATACTGGGAATGGCTGATGTCCCTCTTTGTTTTCAAACTATACTTACATTCATTTCATATAGTAAAAGGCTAGCTATACCATAACCAGCTATGCTAATGTTCCTTAAGTAATCTGTAGATTTCTTAGGCGCTAGAAAACTCGAAATCAAAGATAAATTATACTGACCAAAATATTTGATAACTTAGATGAAGATTTTGGCTCATGGTTTCAGAAAGTTGAGTCCATGGGCACATGGCTCCTTATCTTTGGACCTACAGTGAGGCAGAACATCACAGCAGCAGAAACCTCTGGAGGAGGCAGCTGCTCACATCATGGCAGACAAGAAGCAAAGAGAAGCCAGGTTATCCCCTTCAAAGCTGTGACCCTAGTAAGCTACTTTATCTAGAACTTTCCAAAATAGAGCCCTAAATGGGAATCAAATGCTTACCACATGAATCTGTGGGGGCAATTTCATATTCAAATGGTAACATTCCACATGTGAGTATAAAAAAGATCATGGGCATTTCACAGTGCATATATGCCAGTTCCTACAGGCCACCATTCAAAATTATAAATTCAAACTTCTGCAGATATCTAAACTCTTAGTAAGGCCTCTATAAAGTGAAAAAAAAAAAGGTTACATATCTCTAATACACAATAGTATAAAGTTAAGAACAACTAGGAAGAATGGGATTAAAGACCAAAATCCAGTTTGGCAAAGTGAAATTCTTGTAGTTTCAGGTGTGGCATTTGTGGCATGTGTATCATGATGTGAGCATGCTAATTGGTCTGGGCAGTCCTGCCCAGATGGTCTAGCTCTATTGGTTCTATTGGTTCCTGTCGTTTAACTTTGCAGACATTGCTGTTGGTTCTGGCATCTCTTACACCCTGGAGTCTGCACTGCAGCTTAAGTTTCATGCATCACACTGTGAGGCTACCTCCAGGGACTCGGACTCGAAAACACTATCTAGACTCCCAGGTCTTCCTTTAACTATAGGTGGAATCTTTCATGGCATTCAACAGAGCTTTACATGCCTGAGAAAACAAACACCGTGTGGATGATGCCAAGATCTACTAACAGCCTGGGCAGGAGCTCGGTCCATTTAGGCCATGTCTGCATAGGCTCAACAGTGCTTGTGGAGCTCAACACAGGGGAAACAAAACAACCCACCCCCCCCACCTCACCCCACCCCCCGCCCCCCGCCCAGAACAAACTTTAGAACTATGCATACAATGTTCCTTGGCACTCCCTTCTTAATGTGAAACCCTCCAAATGAGGAAAAAACTCATTCTGTGATGCCCCCATGGTATCTCTCCTACTATCCAATGAAATACATTTGCTTTCTTTTTCATGGTGTTAAGCTCTGAACAACTATATACATTCCCTTTGTGCCCACTTTAAATATTCCCTTTCTACCCAAACTACACATTTTTCAACACAGCTTTTTACTCCAATTCTTATTGTAAACCCAGCTAAAAGCTGAATGCAAGGGACATGTCACAGCCAAAATTAACCTGTCTAAAAATTCCTCTGCCAAATCAATGTCTTCATTTTGAATATAGCCTCACTTAGTCTCAGGACATGGATAAAAATATAGACCTTTCCAGTCTAGTTCCCAAGAGTCTCATCTCTACTGAGCACTCTATTTCTATCAGCGTTTTGGTCTTCCCAGCTCTGCTCACTACATTCTGGGACTTGGGACTTCTCTACAAACCCTTGAAGAATTCTTCCAACTAATTCTTAAGTCTTAAGAATCACAGATTCATCACAGCAATCACTCTACTTCTCTGGTACTGTGTGTGTGTGTGTGTGTGTGTGTGTGTGTGTGTGTGTGTGTGTGTGTGTGAGAGAGAGAGAGAATAGCTGTTCTTGTCACTGTGACAAAATACTTGACATACACAATTGAACAGGAGGGCTTGTTAGTGCTTTCAGATGGTTTAGTACCTCATGGATCACAGGGAAAGGGAGCGAAGACAAATTCATACCATGGTGACCATGAAATAAGAGTACAGTGAGGAAGGGGTTAGGGACCAGCTATATCTTGAAAGACAACCCACCAATGATATACTTCCTTTAACTAGGTCATATCTAATGTCTCCAAAATTTCTCAAAATAGCTTGATCTGTGAGAGACATTCTATATTCAGAACATACAAATGGTTAACTGTGAATTCCATATTAAGAGCAACGATAGTATAAAGGCATGAAGAAAAAGCCAGATGACTCCACTAACTCAATGATCACATACCACCTCTGTCATTGGTATATGCTCATTTTAAGATCCAGAATGAAGAAGCATTTCACAAACTAGATATACACCTGCTCTTTTCATTCACCAAAAGCATTTTCCAAATAACCTATCAAGGAATAATCAGCATGGTAGATGGTAAGTAGTAAATTTGTACCACAGTTGGCCTAGGCTTTCATTTGATAGATCCAAGACCAACCTTACAGTTATAAAATTCTATGAGATGGAAAAAAAAACAAAACAAAACAAAAAACAAAACTGACCAACAGCATGTTATTTTGATTTTTATTCTACAGTAGAAATCTAAACGCAAGACAAATGTTTTATTATTCTTGAATTGAGACCATATGCAGAAGTAGCAATTTAAAATTTTTTTTAAAAAGACTTAGTTGTAAACTGTCACATAATAGATTTACAAAAAAAAAAAATACATAAAAAAGACCAAATTAAATATTAGAAAATAGAGGAGTCTCTCCCTCAAACTGAAGAAGTCTTCTTTAATAGCTTTCAATGTAGCTCACTGGCAATCATAAAAAATTTGAGAAGTTCATTCATGTTGTACAAGCCCTAAAGGAAAAAACTGAGGGAACTCATTGATAATTTTCACAGCTTCATTGTAAAGTTCAAGATCTGAAAGAAACATTTAAGCAAACACTTAATCTATAGTGTATTCTGCAGCATCAACTGTTACTTGAAGGATTTCTACCTATTTTTCTCCTTTTCAGATGTTGACTTCTTTTCATAATCCATGTTTATTTAAATCTGGTGCCCCCAAAGAAAGGCCAGATGATGAACTATTTTGTTGTCTATTATATAGTTATTTTCTGCTGGGTCATAATTTCAGTGTTACTACACTGTTCAAACTTTCAATTCATATATTAGAATATTAATTTCATCATATTTTAAGCCATTTTTATTCTATAAATATTATTTACTAAGTTTCCTTTACACACAAGAAATGCCTAGTTTAAAAGAAGGTCTCTTCTCATTCTATACAAATTGAAAATATGCCAGGACTGAGATTTTAGACCAACACATATTAAATAAAAGTTTTTCTCCTACTTAATGAGACTACAAAATAGTATAATGCTCTACTTACCAAAACGAACACAATCTTCCTTAAACTGGACATAAGATGCACACATTATGGTTGCCTTGGCTGTGACTTTTCCAACTACTTCCACAATTCCAGAGATTTCTTCATCAAGCTAAAATGTTGACCAAAATGTCAGTAGGTGTATTGATTGACCTTTTCAATTGATGAGCTTGGAAAGCTGTTACACAGTCTCTTGTCTTTCAAATTGTTTCATAGCTTACTAATTTTTCATTGTAAAAAAGAAGCTTCAAATTTTACCAACATACAAACAGAAATACAGCTTGTAAAAAATGTTGGCATATATAACTGAGAGGATGCTCTAAGTCCTGTTATCTTTAGAAGTGGCTTAAGGTCCAAAAATACAGTTATACATATAAGGAAGGCAAAGCCATTTAAAGACACTGGCGATTCCAGAGTTCCTATAAACGGATTTGTTGGAAAAGTCTGTGAGAAGAACTGTGTATAAATCTTACATTACATGTTCTATATAGAGTAAACAAACAGTATATGGATTTGTCTTCATAAAAGACCGTAAAGATGTTTAAGCACATTAAACATAAAATAAAAAATAATTTAAAACATGTAATTTAAAAATTAAAAATAGAAAGTAAAGATGATTGGCAATGCCACTAGGAGGCTGAAGCAGGAGCAGCATCCAGGGCCACCACTTCAAGGCCAGGCTTGTGAATATGGAAGCAGTTTGAAAAGATTTTCATGTGTACATTTTTGGGTTTTTTTGTTTTTTGTTTTTTCTTTTTTTTTTTTTTTTTTTGAGACAGGGTTTCTCTGTAGCTTTGGAGCCTGTCCTGGACTAGCTCTGTAGACCAGGCTGGCCTGGAACTCACAGAGATCCACCTGCCTCTGCCTCCCGAGTGCTGGGATTACAGGCGTGTGCCACCACCACCTGGCAGGGTATTTTTTTAAGTAATAAAAATTGTTATCCAACCAATACTTAAGGGACATATTCAGAAACTTGGAGCTCTAAGAATCAGTATTAGAAATGGCGATAAAATATGAGGGCATGGGTTTGATTTTAAAGCTAAGGAGTTTTAACAAGCACAGCCTTCACACTCCAATCACCAAAACCAGAAATATTAAACAAAAATTAAACATGAGACATATCACTTCAAACATACTGGCTCCATCAATTCAATGGTTCCATTTTTCCCTTCTCCATCTGAAAGAATAAACATTTTTCCAGTGGGATGAATCTAAAAAAGAAAACAAAAACCCACATAGATTTAGAAAATAGAATCTACAGGAAAAAAATGTTTAAGAACTTTATTGACAATTTACTTGAACATAAAGTAACTGGTTTTCGGACAGTTCATTTGGTTCAAGTTATAATCTTGTTACCAGATCTTATCATTGGAAACCCAGTTAATTAGAATTTCTAGAAAACAATATTTGCTTAGTGCTACATGTGGCTTCTTGTTTTATTTGCAAAATCTGGCAACTGTATACTACAACTAAATTAAGAAAGTTTTCACTTACCTAACAGTGGGAATTCTGCTGACACTCATGATTTAGACAGTACATCTAACAGAAGGTATGCTTTTAAAATTAGGAATGCAGAACTAAAAGACCTGGTTGCCAGATCTGAGGACTTCTCTTGGAATCTGAATTGAGCTCTGCCACTTGCTGTGACCCTGAGCCTGTTTCAGTTAATTACCCACACTGGCTCAGTCAGCCTACCTGTGAAGTTAGAATAACATTCCTTTCACTTAGGGCATGTGTAAATGAAATGAGCTAGTAAATAAGTCCTTACAAATGCTTTTCTTTTCCTCTGCTTTCTCAGTCACAGATTCTGACTTTGGGCTTGTTTCTTACCTATAGGACGAGGGCTGTAGTCTAAGACTGGGCTAGATAGTGAGTTCTATAGGATATGGGAAGGACTATCAAGTAATGTTTCAGAGAAGCAAATGCAACGCGAAAAAAAACAGGCCCGTAAACAGAGACGGTTGCAAAAGACCAGAAAACAAACAGAATCATCAGCCAAGTCTGGCTAAACCAAAAACAAAAAACAAAACAACCTCAGTAGGCAGAGGAGCTAGGTTGGTAATCTTTCAACTAAATACAGAATGGGGGCGGGGAGCGTTAGAACTAAGCGCTCATTTTTTGCGTCATGAAAGAACCGGGATGGAGCTACAATGGCTTAGCAGTGGAAACTCTGTGAAAAATGAAGCAAGCTGGAGTGCAATGCTGCTTATGGCTACCTGTTTTCGCCCGCCTTTCCCCAGCCACTCCCGGGTGGCCACGGTGCCCCACTCTCTTGCCCGGGCCCGCGCACCTTTTCCAGCTTCCCCACGAAGCACACGGGTCGGTCGATGAACTGCGCTAGCATGCTGGCGTTGATGCGCGCTTTGGGAAGTTCCATTACGTCCACCATGATCGTGCCGCCAACACTCGGACTTGTCCGACTCCGAGCTGGCCTCCGCGCCAACACACGCAGATTTCCCAAACACCAATCAGAGGAGACTTGCGCTCCAGCCCCACCAATCAAATCAACAGAAGCGTCTCGTTCCCTAGCAGGGGCCTGGGGGAGGGGCGCGATACGTCCGGAAGTCCAGGTCCACTGCCTAGTGACGCGCGGCGTTCCGGAAGTTGCTCCGGCTGAAAGGAGTGGGCGGAGAGGGCGGGTCTTGGAGGGGCGGGGCTGAGGCTACGGACCCGGGATCTGGGGTGACGGAAGGGCGACCTGACCCCGGAAGTAGGCTGAAGTACCGCGGCGGCGGGCGGCGGGCTGCGGCGGAGTCTCAGGTAGCTCTTGATTGCGGGAAGTGTCTCGATCTTCGTGCCTCTGTCCTCCGGAGGGCTGAACCGTCGGGGTAGGGGGCGGAGTCAGGCCGCAGGTCCCGGAAAGCCGTGGCTTCGGGCAGTGACAGTTATCCGCTTCTGCGCTGGAGGCGCGGGTGCGTGCCGAACCTGGGGTTTGGGTTTTTATTTTTGATCTAGTTCTACCTGAAGGGAATCATTATCAGTCTTTATCCCCTCCCTCAGGAGATCGTTGCTGGGAGACTGAGGTCCATTTTATATAGCACGCTGTGTCACGTACCTGCCCACTTTCCACACCAGCAGGAAGAGGTGCTGACCCTCTCTTTAGACCCAGGACCATTTCTAGCTTTGGCGGTCCGCAGATGTCCCTTTCCTCATTTACTGGGTGTGAGCAAATACATGTGTTTGGGCTCCTGTAGAGGAGGACCACTGGGCAGTTCCGGAGGAGACAGGCTTCACCAGCTGTTAATTCAAGCTAGTGCTCCTCCACCGGTGCCACATTTTCTCTATCTGCAAAACCAGGGGTTGACTGATTTGCAAAGTCCTGGCTAATTCTAATTTGTGTTTGTAATATTATATCTACTTCCCCGGAGTACTTTGAAGCATAGAGCTGACTGCCTGAAAGATTAGGGGGGAAATTATCAGATGTGCCTCTGGTTCATAGTATGACTGGAAGCTCGTGGCTATTGATTTTAAAGATGTCATCAGTGAGGACTGATACCAGGAAATTTCAGAACGAATGCATATGAAAATACCTTCAAAAGAGGTTGCAGAAATTAGAATATAATTTTAATTGGGTCTCATAATTATGTGGAAACAGTGTCTGGATTTTCCTACAGCCACAGACTTATTATTAACCTTCAAATTAAGGGTCCTAATTGGAGTTACAATGTAGTCCTGCTGTTTAAGATCTGCAAAGATCTGCTTTGAGATTTTTATATGGCAATTTAAGATTGAAATCCGATATGCCCTATTGAAATGATTTTAACTTTCCTTAGTGTTTATAGTTAATGTTTGTCTTAGTTCTGTTGTTGCTAAGACAAGTTTAAAGAATCCCATTAGTTGTGGGATGCGTTTCGTTTGGGTCTGGCAAGTCAGTATTGCAGCATTCAGGGTACACCACCACCTTTTCTGTCCTGGTGCGCAGCACCCTTTACACAGTGAAAACTAGCCAGCAGGAAGTAAGTTACCATCTCAGTTCTAGCTTGCTTTCTCTGGGTACTGTAAGCAAATTGAAGCATGTGTTCAGCAGTAGGTTCTTACCATCAAGTTATGGTTGACAGTTAAGAGCGTTGTTGGACGACTGTTGTTTGGGTGCCGTTGGGGCCCCTCTCACCTCATGGAGGGGAATCTCACATCCAGCACTGAGATTTTCATTTTTAATAACCCATGTCTTTGCGGGAAGCATTCTTCACCCATGCAGGGTACCTCCATTTAAACTCCTTTTAAAAACAGTTATATTTTTCAGTTAGCTTACAAAGTAGTGTGTTTCCTTGAGGCCCATTCATACATCCTTAGTCTTAGACTATTGCAGCCCCCTGCTTTATCCCCATCCTCTGTTCCCATTTCCACTTAAACCTTTTATCTCCAGTATTCTCCCAAAACAAACTGCTTTCATAGCACAAATGCTCTACTGTCCCCTCCATTCCTTGAGATTTCTCTACTCCCATCTTTGGTTTTTGTAGCTTCCTGACTTCCACAGACACTACAAATCAAACACACAAATCTAAAATCTTGAAGCTAGGATCCATATATGAGAGAGAACACGTGATGTTTGTGTTTCTTGGCCTGGATTACCTCATTCCATATAATATCTTCTAGTTCCTTCCATTTTCTTGTAAATTTTATAATTTCATTTTTTCCCTGTACAACTGAATAAAACTCCATGGTGTATATGTAGACCTTTTCATTTTCCATTCGTCAGCTGGTGGACATTCAGGATGATTCCATTTCCTATCTATTGTCAACAGAGCATCAATGAAAATGGATGTCAGAGTATCTCTGTGATAAGGTATTGAGTGCTGTGAATATAATAAGCCCAGGAGTGGTATAGCTAGGTCATCTGGTAGTTCTATTTTTTTTTTTTTTTTAGCTTTCTAAGAAACCTGTATACTGACTTCCTGTCTTAGTTACTTTTCTGCTGCTGTGATGGAACTTCATGACCAAAAGCAATGTGGTACAGAAAGGGTTCATTTTACTTACATATCCTGAATCATTGTCCACTGTAGGAAGCCAAGGCAGGAACTCAAACCAGGCTTCTGGAGGCAGGAGCTAATGCAGAGGCCATGGAAGAGTGCTGCTTATTGGCTTGCTCCTAATGGCTTGCTCAGCCTGCTTTTTTTTTTTATTTAATATTTTTATTTTATAATTAACTTAATTTCACATATCAGCCACGAATTCCCCTGTCCTCCCTCCTCCCACCCCAGCCCTCCCCCCCAACCCACCCCCCATTCCCACCTCCTCCAAGGCAAGGTCTCCTCTGGGGAGTCAGCCCAGCCTGGTAGACTCAGCCCAGGCAAGTCCAGTCCTCTCCTCCCTATACCAAGGCTGAGCAAAGTGTCCCAGCATAGGCCTCAGGCTCCAAAAAGCCAGTCCATGCACCAAGGACAGGTCCTGGTCCCACTGCCTGGGGGCCTCCCAAACAGTTCAGGCTAATCAACTGTCTCACTTATCCAGAGGGCCTGGTCCAGTTCCATGGGGGCTCCTCAGCCATTGGTTCTCAGCCTGCTTTCATAAAGAACAGGTACCCACCCACTGTAGGGTGGCCCCTTTCATATTAATTACTAATTAAGAAAATGTTCAGCAAGTTTATCTTCAACCCAATCTTATGGGTCATTTTTTTCCAATTGAGACTCCCTGCTCTTTGATGACTCTAGCATGTGTCAAGTTGACATAAAACTATCCAAGACACTTGCACAGTGTTTCACTAATTTGCATTCCTACTGTCAGTAGGAAAGTGTTGACCTTTCCTGGTATCCTCTCCTGTGTTTTTCTGATGGTAGTCATTTTGACTGGGGTGAGACAGAATCTCAAAAAGTTTCCCTGATAACTAATAATTTGAACACTTTTAAAAATGTTTATTGGGTGTTTGTGTTTATTCTTTTGAAAATACCCTGTTCAGTTCCATACCCTCACCCCCCCCTTTTTTTGATTGGGTTATTTGTTTTCTTGAGTTCTTTGTAATTCCTAAACACTAACTCTGCATTGGGTATATAACTAGCAAATATTTGCTCCCCTTTTGTAGGCTACCTTTTCATTCAATTGACAATTTCCTTTGCTATACAAAACCTTTTGAATTTCATGAGATTCCCATTTGTTGATTAGTTTTTATCTCCTGAGTGATAGAAATTCTATTCAGAAAGTTGTAGCAAGAATCTCTAAAGGTCTTATTAATAAAAACAAACCTGGAGCCAGGTATTGGGGTGAATGCTGGAAGATCAGAGAAGCAGAACAAGCCACAGCCACCTCACCTTGCCAATTCCTCAGCTGATCCTGTTTCCTCAGACTGGAAGCCTCTGAGTCCTTATCCAGATTGAATCTCAGCTGAACTGCTGCTCCAAAGCCTAAAAGCTTAACCAGCTGGTTCCTGGTTTTCACGCCTTATATACCTTTCTGCTTTCTGCCATCCCTTCCTGGGATTAAAGGCTCTTGTTACCACCTGTCGGTTTCCAGTGTGGCCTTGAACTCACAGAGATCCAGGCGATCTCTGCCTCTGGAATGCTAGGATTAAAGGCGTGTGTGCCACCATTTTCTGACCTCTATATCTAGTGTCTCTTCTGTTCTCTGACTCCAGATAAGTTTATTAGGGTGCACAATATTTTGGGGAACACAATATCACCACAGAAAGTCTCTACTATGCTTGTATCTTAGCTAGGGTTTTATTGCTCTGAAGACACACAGTGGCCACAGCACCTCTCATAAAGGAGAAGATTTAATTGGGGCTGGCTTATAGTTCAGAGATTTAGTCATGGCAGGAGCATGACAGCATTCAGGCAGACATGGTACATGGTACTGGAGAGATAGCTGAGAGTTCTATATCCTGATCAGTAAGCAGTAGGAAGAAAGTGCCACTGGGCCTGGCTTGGGCTTCTGAAAGCCCAAAACCCACTCTCAATGACACACTTCCTCCAACAAGGCCACACCCCCAATAGTGCCACTCCTTATGAGCCTATGGGGGCCATTTCATTCAAACTTCCACAGTTTGTATCTTGAAATGCACTCCCTACTTTTTTCTGTAATAGTTTCATAGTATCAGGTCTTATGTTGAGGTCCTTGATCTGTTTGGAGTTGACTTTTGTGCAATGTAGGAAGCAAGGATTCATGTCATTCTCTACAGGTAGATAACCAGTTTCCCTGTCACCATTTGTTAAAGATCTACCTCTTCTCCAGTGTATATTTTTGGCATATTTGCTAAAAATCAGCTGGCCATAGTTGCATTGGTCTTCTATATTACTGTCTCTTTCTGTGCCAGTACCATGCCTTTTTTTTTTTTTCAATTACTAGAGGTCTATGGTATGACTTGAAAGCAGTTGTGGAGTTACTTACAGCAGTATTCTTTTTGCTTGGCTATATAGGGTCATTTGTGCTTTCATATTAATTTTAAGATTGTTTTTCCATTTCTTGGAAGAATGTTGCTGGAATTCTCCCCCTACACACACTGATTATGTTGAATCTGTGATTGCTTATGGAGTGGATAGTTTTTCTGTTGACGTAAAAACCAGACTTCTCATCTTTTCTTTCTTTCTTTTCTTTCTTTCTTTCTTTCTTTCTTTCTTTCTTTCTTTCTTTCTTTCTTTCTTTCTTTCTTTCTTTCTTTTTTTTTTTTTTGAGACAGGGTTTCTCTATGTAACAGTCCTGGCTGTCCTGAAACTCACTCTGTAGACAAGGTTGCATTTGAAATCACAGAGATCCTCCTGCCTCTGCCTCTTGAGTGCTGGGATTAAAGGTGTGTGCCACCAGTGTCAGCTCACAGTTCTCATCTTAAAGAGAATAAGATTGGCCAGCATTTTATTTATCAGCCAATCAGAGCCACCCATTCACAGCATACAAAACATTCCACAGCAAATATGAGTGACCATGGCCTGGGAACACATATTCAGGTCACCCCATATTCTATGTTCCAATGTGGAAGCAGTTT